ATGAAAGAAAAAAAACATTAAAATACATATCTAAGGGTTCATTTTCCTAACATCACATTATCTGACCTTTTCCGCTTGTACTTTGCTGTTTTCTGATGATAGGCAGAGCAAGCCGTTTCTGCTGTAGGACTTTGGTATAAGCTATCTTGAGAGAGCCTAGAGCTCTCTCTCTTGTGATCTCTGCATGTCCATCTGATTACCCAGACTTTGGCTTAAATGTTTGCACAGAGACTCTCCAGGACTGGTCACTCTCAGCTAAGTCATCCTGTTCTAATTCTTGGCAAGGCACTTATCATACTATTTGGACAAGGACAATGACTTTTATTAGGGATTAACCTCAGTACCCTAAACTTTGCCTGGCACTCTGTATGCTCAATACCTATATGTAATAAGAAGCCCAAAAGGATAAAACTGCTCTTGAGGGCTGGGAAAGTGGCTCAGTGGTAGAGTGCTTGCCTTGCATGCATGAGGCCCTGGGTTCGATTCCTCAGCCCCACATAAGCAGAAAAAAAAGCTGGAAGTGGTGCTGTGGCTCAAGTGGTAGAGTGCTAGCCTTGAGCTGAAGAGCTGAGGGATAGCACCCAGGCCCAGAGTTCAGGCCTCATGACCGGACCCAAAAAACCTGCTCTTGAAAATAAGCCCAAGAAAGTCAAATGCTTTTATTTACAGAAACTGCTTGGCTTTCACTGACTGGTTTGCCTTGACAATGTAGCAATTTTCCACTGGCTCTCCCAGATTACAGTTACTGAAAATCTCTCTCTCTCTGGTGATAGGAATTGAACGCAGTGCTTAGTGTTTGCTAGCAAGTGATCTGCCACTTGAACCATGCCTCCAGTCCTTTTTGTTTTTAGTTGTCAGACAGGGTTCTGCTTTAGTCTAAGGCTGGCCTCAGACTGGTCCTTCTATCTATATATCCCATATAGCTAGTACTCCTATGCCAGTCCTGTTGAAGTGGGGGTCTTGATACTTTTTGCCCTGGTTGGCCTAAAAATGTAATCCTTCTCATCTCTGCATGCCAAGAACCTGGGAGTACAAGCGAGAGCCATCATGCCCAGATCTGTTTTGTTTGTATGCATGCATGCATACATGCATGATTGTATGTATGTATGTACACATGTATTTTACTTGAGATAGAGTTCATTATGTAGCCCAGGCTGGCATTTAGATTCTCCTGTCTCAGCTGCCTGAGTGATGAGATTTTAAGTGTGCGTAACCACATAGCTTTCACTATGACATTTTTGTACATGTACATATTGTACTTCAAATAAACTTGCTCCCCATTGTCCCCCTCCCCTCTACCAGACTTTTCATCAAGCAAGAAACAAGGGAACAACACAGGTTACCTTATATGCATTTCAAGGTGATAATTCATTGGCTGTGTATGTACCTCAATCAGCACAAGATCCTCCACTCACAACAAGCTAGCTCATCCATTTCTCTGGAGAAAAAGGAGGAGCTGAGAAAAACCATTGCTAGGGTCACACAGCAGGACAGTGAGTGCCGCTCTGCTCATAGGCCAGGGATAGCCAGATGGCCTGGACGCTGGCCAGCAAAGCTGCCTGAGACCCGGCTGCAGCTTAGCAGTAGGAAGAACCTACTTTGTCAGGCAGCAAGCTGAGAGCTTGCTCCTTCAGTCAAGAGCCTGAAATTTAACAGTGGCTTGTTGCTTTAGTTGTAATCTCCAGTTAGGCAACAGGAACTGGTTTTAAGTTGAATAATGAAGGTTCCATAAAGGTTAGATCACAAAATCTAGTGATATAGTACAGGAGTAGATTAGAGCTGTTTTTTTTTTTTGGTTTTGTTTTTTGCCATTAATGGGGGCTTGAACTCAGGGCCTGGGCACTAGATTTTTGCTCAAGGCTAGGGCTTCAGCACTTGAGTTAATAGCTCCACTTCCGGATTTTTGGTGGTTAAAGAGTCTCAGAGACTTTCCTGCCCAAGCTGGCTGCAGACCACAATCCTCAGATCTCAGCCTCATGAGTTGCTAGAATTATAGGTATGTGTCACCAGTGCCTGGCAGTAAAATCTTTCTTAAGACTTTAGCTTTGTTCTGATCATCTTATATAAAATGATATTTATTGAAATGAACAGATGGTAACAAGAGGACTTTTTGTTTTCTTTTTGTCTTGTCTGTTCATTTATCTGGGGGGGGGAAGGAGGGGACACAGAAATAAAGGACAAAGGGTGAACAAACAGCAGTGGTACTCACTTGACACTAGCAAAAATGTGGGTAAGGACAAGAGGGGAAAACTCAGGGAGAGAAAGGGAAGGGGTAATGCATTACAAGACTTATGTAACTATTCTATATCACCTTTACAATAACAGTAATTTAAAAAAATAATTTTTGCTTAATTTTGAAAAGATGTACAGTCTTATTTATTTGCCTCATATTCAGAACAAGCAGAGCAATGGCCCCACCTGCTGATGCTGGCTGAGATGGCAGTGTAGCATTCCTGCCTTCATTCCTAGTGGCCCATAGCATTGGGAGATAAGCCTGTTGTCAGGAGCAACATCTCCTTACTGTTCTTAGGCATAAAGTGGCATAGACTTTCTTATGTTTTCTGGGATTCCATATCTTCACACTTGTTTATTTTTAAATTAGCTGAACTGCTCCAGAAGCAACGAGAGGTGCAATGGTTTTATATCGGATCAAGTGTTGGGAGCCCTCTTCCAAGTCAATCACATAGTCCCTGAAAAAAGAGAACAGGAATTTATGTGGAGAGCTTGGCCGGCTCTCCATTAGGAAGAACATTTCCCATTGTGAAGACACCCAGGCCACTTACCTCTGCTCATCTGTTTCAGGTTCTACTAGTATATTTTCTTGCCGTTCTTTTACTCTCAGAAACACATATGAATCTAGATCTGGTTTGGGAACTGCCAAAAAGCAAACACATAATTAGGAAATGAGAAGCTAAAAAGGTTAAATCTTGATAAAGTTTTACTTATAAATCAGGCATAGTAAAAGATTAATAACAATAATTAATACATTATATTACTGTAATTATGTGAATGTGGTCACTTGCTCTCAAGTATCTTATATACTATACTCATCCTTTTATTTATTTTTGTAATGCTGATGTACAGAGGGGTTAGTTACATAAGTCAGATAAGGAGTTCATTTCTTTTTGAACAGTGTCACCTCTTTTTTCATTTCCTCCCAGGTTTTCCCCTCTCAACTTCTCTTCCCGACAAGTTATGTAATTCAAACTGCTGAATTAATGCACCCTATTTCTTTTTTTTTTTTTTTTGGTCCAGTTGTGGGGCCTGAACTCTGGGCCTGGGCACTGTCCCTCAGCTCTTCACCTCAAGGCTAGCGCTCTACCACTTGAGCCACAGCACCACTTCTGGCTTTTTTCTTTTTGCTTATATGGTGCTGAGGAATTGAACCCAGGGCCTCATGCATGCAAGGCAAGTGCTCTACCACTGAGCCATCTTCCCAGCCCCGTCCCACTATTTCCATGCTTTCTCTTACCCTCCCCCTAACGGATAAACTTATACACAAAAGGTACAGAATCAGAAACAGCAACAAAAGCAGAAAAGACCCAAAACTGAAAGCAAAATAATAAAAAATAAAAACCTCATTTCCATTTCTTGGGAGTTCATTTTGATGAACATCATTGTATATGATCATATGCACCTATTGAGTCTTTGTGATCCTCTCCTAAGTATATCCTCCTTTAGTCTCACTGTGTGAATGTTTAAAATCTGTTTATTATCCTATTCAAGTGTAATTTATTTGTCTTTTACCATCCATTGTGTTTGCTTCTAGATTTATAGGCAAATTCTAAATGAGGGAAACCATGCAACCTATGTTTCTTTGGGTCTGGCTTACTTTGCTTAATATAATTTTTCCAAGTCTTTCCATTTTGTTACTAATGGTGCAATATCATTCTTTCTGATAGATGAGCAGAATTCTATTCTATTCAACTGAGGGGCAGCAGGGTTGATTCCATATCTTGGGTATGATAAACAATGCTGCAATGAAGATGGGTATGTGGTAGCTTTAGTGTGGCCTCATTTATAGCTATTTGGAGAAATGCACAGAAATCGAATTGCTAGGTCATAGGGAAGCTGTATGTTTAGTTTTTTAAGGAACTTCCATACTGCTTTCCACAGTGGTTAAACAAGTTTACATTCCCACCAACAGTGTAATAGAGTTCTTTTGTTCACATCCCATCAGCATTTGTTATTGTTAGTTTTCTGAATAATGGTCATTCTAACTGGGGTGAGGTGGAATCTCAATATTGATTTGAGTTTTTTTTTTTTTTTTTCGGTCGTGGGGCTTGAACTCTGGGCTTGGGCGCTATCAAGGCGAGCAGTCTACTGCTTGAGCCACAGCACCACTTCCGGTTTTCTAGTGGTTTATTGGAGATAAGAGTCTCACGGACTTTCCTACCCAGGCTGGCTTTGAACTGTGATCCTCAGATCTCAGCCTCCTGAGTAGCTAGGATATAAGCATGAACAACCGGCGCCCGGCTGATTTGCATTTCTTTTATGGCCAGAGATGTTCAACATTTCTTCATGTATCTATTGGCCACTCTTCTTCTAAAAAGTCTTTAAGTCTTTAGCCCATTTATTAACTGAGTTGTTTCTTTGAGGGTATTTTGGGGGTGGGGTTAATTTTTTTTTTAGCTCTAAGTACATTTTAGATATGAGGCTCTTGTCTGATGCATAGCTAGAAAATCTCCCCTCATTCTGTGGGCTTCCTATTTATCTTGCTAGCTATGTCCTTTGCCATATAGAAACTCCTTCATTTTTATGCAATCCCATGTATCTAGTCTTTCCTTGATTTGTTGTGATTCTGGATCTTTACTTAGTTAGTTTCAACCCATGCCTAGGAGCTCTAGTGTTTCCCCTATCCCTTCCTGTAATGTTTCCATGGTATCTGGCCTTACATTGAAGCCTCTGATCCATTTGGAACTGATTCTTGTACAAGGTAATATATAAGGATCTAGCTCAAGTTTTCTGCATGTCTATAGCCAATTCTGTCAGCATCATTTGCCCTAGAGACTTTCTTCCATCCTGTGGTTTTGGATCCCTTATCAAATATTAGGTGGCTATAGGTTTGTGGGCTGATTTCTGGGTCTTCTATTCTAGTCCATTGGTCCTCAGGCCTATCCTTGTGTCAGTACCAGGCTGTTTTTATTACCATGACTTTGTAATAGAGTTTGAAATTTGGTATTGATATTCCTTCAACAATGTTCTTCCTGCTAAGTATTGTTTTTGCTATTCAGGGTCTTTTATTACTCCATATGAATTTTTTTTATTGCTTTCTCTGTATTATTGAAGAATGTTGTTGGGATTCTGATGGATATTGCACTGAATTTGTAGATAGGTTTAGGCAGTATTGCTATTTTCACAGTATTAATCCTTCCAATCCAGGAGCATGGAAGGTTTTTTCCATTTCCTTAAATCTGTTTTTCTTTCTTTTTTCCAGATTTTTAAATTTTTCATCATAGAGATCTTTCACATCTTTGATTAATTCCTAGGAATTTTATTTTATTTTTGCCAATCCTGGTCCTTGAACTCAGGGCCTGTGCACTGTCCCTGAGCTTCTTTTGCTCAAGCCTAGCACTCTAACACTTCAGCCACAGCACCACTTGCAGCTTTTTCTGCTAATGTGGTATTGAGGAACTGAACCCAGGGCTTCATGCATGCTAGGCAAGCACTCTACCATTAAGCCACATTACTAGCCCCTGTATTTTATTTTATTTTTTTTTTGAGACAATTACAAATGGTGTTGTTTTCCTGGTTTCAGTCTCAATCTTCTCATTGTTGGTATACAGAAAACCTAGATTTTTGTGGGTTCATTTTATACCTTGCTACTTGGCCAAAGTTTTGGCTTAGCTTAAGTAACTTGGGGAAGGAATCTATAGGGTTCTTTTCTTTCTTTTTTTTTTAAGGGAGTGGTAGGCCTCACATTGGCTTGGCTAGTGCTCTACTTGAACCACTGCCACCCCTGCTTATTGCTGGTTATTTTGGAGACGTCTAATGAATTCTTCTGCCCTGGCTGGCTTCAAGCCATTATCCTCCACATCTCAGTCTTTTGAGTAGTTAAGATTACAAGGCGTGACCTTCCAGCACTTAGCTTTTGCTAGTTATTTTGGAGATGGAATCTAGTGAACCTTCCTGCCAGGGCTTGCTCTGAACTGCAATCTTCCTAAGGATTATAGGCATGAGCTATAGTCCTCTGGTTCATCCTTATTCTTGTGATGATATAAAACATAAAAGTCATCAGGCACTGGAGGCTCATGATTATAATCCTACCTACTCAGGAGGCCGAGACCCAAGGATCATGGTTCAAAGCCAACTTGGGCAGGAAAGACTATGTGACCCTTATCTCCAATTAGCCACCAGAAAATTGGAAGTGGAGCTGTTGCTCAAAGTGGAAGAACACTAGCCTTGAGCAAAAGAGCTAAGGGACAGCACCCAGGCCCTGAGTTCAAGACCCATGACAAAAACAAAAACAAAACCCTTACAATCCTACATGAGGAGACGGAAGTGAAAAGTTTAGGTGTTATGAGGTCTCGTGAGGCTAGCATTTAAGTATAACCTGAACACAAGAACTTGTGACAGTTCACAAGCCGATTTTATGTTAGAATGGCATGTAACTGAAAACTTATGAGTTATTTCTAGAATATTTCATGAACTCCTTTTGGACCATGACTGACTACCATAAACCTCAAAAATTGAACCCACAGCCAGGCTCCACTGGCTCACACCTGTGATCCCAGCTACTCAGGGGCTGAGATCTGAGGATTGAGGGTGGAAGCCCCAGACAGAAAAGCCTTTGAGCCTCTATCTCCAATTAGCCAACAAAAAACTGGACTGGAGATGTGACTCAGGAGATAGAATGCTGGCTCTGAGTAAAAAAGCTGTGTGAGAATATGAGGCCCTAAGTTCAAGCCCCAGTACTTACTTAAAAAAACAAACACAAACAACAAAAGTGAAGCCACAGGTAAGAGATACTGCCCACCCTGGAGGACACAATTGAGCCTAACACATCGTCTCTCTAGATGGCTGGTAACCATGCACACAGTAAAGCCCCCATTGGTGGCAATACTCAGCGATGGAGGAAGCAGAGATGCACTTGTAGGAGAGTGAGCCTGAGACGTGTGAGGTACAAACCTGTACAATGGCTCAGGAAACTTGGGTCGTGGTGATAGTCTTGCATGTTACTCAGGAATATGATCTTAACATGAAGGTGGTCCCTCCCTGATCCACTACAGGCCAAGACTGCTGCCACCCCTCTTCTATTACAGACCCCCACTTCCAGTCAGTACATGCCCCAAGCTGGCTATTTAATAGCTCCTCTTCTCTGGAGTCCATTTGTCCTAAAGGTGGCCAACAACGGCAATACTCAAAGCACATGCCCATACTTCCTTATTCTAAGAGCCTGTTTCAGATTTCTACTGCCCTTGGCTTCTTCATCTTTGGGATGGGATTCATGGTAACCAGCTTCAAAGGTAAGGAGGGTAACCTGGCTGTTCCAGGGTGCTAGGACTACTCTAACTTCAACAGTTAGTTTGGCCCCACTGGGTAGCCTGACTCCAAAAACCTAGCTTGGGCTCATCATGCCTATACTGCTCCCGGCCCTAAAAATCCTGTGGGATTTACAACCTCCACAGAACTCAAGGAGACAGCAGCAGCTGCAGTACCACTGAACAGCTTCTAATTCCAGTTCAGCTTTTGTCCTTAGAAGAGATCACAAGTGACATACTAGAGACATTTTTAATTTTTATTTTTGGTCAGTACTGTGAAATGGATGCTGTCTTTTAGCTTTTTTTTTTTTTTTTTGCTCAAGGCTAGTATTCTACCACTTGAGCCACAGCTCCACTTCTGGCTTTTTGGTGGTTAATTGGAAATAAGAGTCACAATCTTTCTTGCCTGGCTGGCTTCAAATTACAATCTTCAGATCTCAGCTTCTTAAGTAGCTAGAGTTGTAAGTCATAAGCTACTGGTCTCTGGCCAACATGCTTGTTTTTGGTATCTCCCTGCACCAAGCAGAAACACTAGACAATGTCAAGATCTAGTTCCAGTAAGGTGTATGCATGCTCCATCATTACTTGCTTCTTAGCTACTGTGATCTACTGGATGAGGTGACATGGGGAAGTGATGTGGGTAGAGTCCTTGAACCTTTCCTGCTCTAAGGTGAAGATGAAAGTGGCTGAGAGGGAGGGAACTGAATATGGATTGGGTGTTTTTATTGTTTTCCTTAGGCAGGCTGAGCAAAACTGTTTTCCAGAGTTGCACACATCTAGTGTCTGGTTTGCTCCTGGTGTTACGGGATAAACTGCGCCCCTTCAAAATTCTTATGTGGAAACTTTAATTTCCATTATTCAGGAATGGAATCCTGTTTGGAGAAAGGGCTTTTAGGAAGGTAATTAAGTTCAAATGAGGCCATTAGGGCCTGCATAATCCAGTCTGACTGGTGTCCTCATTAAATGAGATTAGGGTACACAGAGAATGGTATTAGTGACTTCATAAAAGAGGCCTACTTGCCTACTCTTCTACCACAGAAGCACAGGATAGAGGTTGGGCCTGCTGCTTTCTCTTTTTCTTCCCACAGTCTAGCTCCCTTCTGGTAATCATAGCTACAGAAACGTCACAACAAAGCTGAGAAGCTCTTGCTAGAGGTTAAGAAGGACTCCAGATTGTTGTTTTACTGTGTGCCAGTTCTGGGACTTGAACTTTGGGCTTGGGCACTTAAGCTTCTTAAGTGCTAGGATCCTATTACTTTGAGCCACAGCTCCATTTCCAACTTTTTGGTAGTTTACTGGAGATAAAGTTTCACAGACTTTTTCTCCCTAGGCTGGCTTCAAGCTGTGATCCTCACATCTCAGCCTCTTGAGTAGCTAGGATTACAGGTATGGGCCAGTGGTGTCTGGCTCTGATTGATGTTTTGTGAGTATCCTATTTAAGTCTTCCTTCTAGCTAGATAGTGCATGTGCATTCTGGAATCTGCCAGTGGAATATCATGTCTGCCTGCTCTTTGCATCAGCAGTGGTTTAGGAGGTAGGGCCTTGTGGACACCCAGGAGATGCTGCCGAAGGATTGCACAGCTGAAGATATGAGTGGATTCACATTTGTGGTGGCAGCTATTAGGGTTCACCCCAGTGTGAAGAACACAAAAGTAATGTTGAACAGTGCCTTTTGCATCTGCATTTGGTTATTTTTGTTTTGTTTTTAAGCAAAATACTTTTCTTTATCTTCACTGCTCATATACATACTTGTTTCTTCCATATTCAAGAAATAAAAAAGAGTAAGGATGAAGATCCTATTGTCAGGTACCTGAGAACATTTGATCTTGGGCTGGAGAAGGCTCTGCTTACCTGCCCTCAAGAGGTCCACCTTCTGTAAGTTGGGAGGCATATGCTTTAAGGCGACATTTTTAAGGTAGGTCTCTGTGTGAGCCATGTACCTGAAACACACAAAGTTCAAATAGTGGTACATAACTGGAAGGAGGTACCCCAGAGCTACTTGGTGGAAAGCCACCAATGAGGCTCTCCGATGGGCTTGATGGACATAGCCAGCAAACTCATGCTTATAAGCCAACGAAAGGCACTTCGATGCTTCCTGCTTCACTTACTCTTTGGCAAAGGCAAACTCCTCTGGAGAAAGGCTGGAAGGTTCCCCTTCAGGGCGCGTCTTCTCTTTCTCTAGGATGTGAGGGAAAAACTTCTCTATCTGTGAGGACAAATAAAAATCACAAAAACATCTATCAGGATACTTGCTTTCTCCAAGAGGTTAAGGTTAATATAAAAAACTGACAAAGAGTTCAAGCCCCACGACCGACAAAAAAGTAACAAACAAACAAACAAACAAAAATAACAACAAAAAACTGACAAAGAGCTGGGTATTGGTGGCTCAAAACTGTAATCCTAGCTACTCAGGAGGCTGAGATCTGAGGATCGAGGTTCAAAGCCAGTCTGGGCAAGAAAAATCTGTGAGACTCTTATCTCCAATTAACCACCAGAAAACCAGAAGTGGCGCTGTGGTTCAAGTGGTAGAACATTTGCCTTGAGTTGAAGAGCTTGGGGACAGCGCCCAGGCCCAGAGTTCAAGCCCCACAAACAGGCAGACAAACAAAAAAAAGGAGCCGGAGTATGGCTCAGTAGGGGAGCACTTGCCTAACACGTGTAAGACTCCTGGTTTCATCTACAGCAGCAGCACACAGATATAAAACAAGTGAAACTTGACAAAATGAAAAGCGTTCATGTTTATGGTTAAGACTCTTGGTAATCAGACCTATGTTCAGGACTATAAGAGAGGTATCCCAGAACTTACAGAAATAATAAAGACTCTGGAAAGGAGAGTTAAAAAGGGATAGAAGGCTTTCATTAAATAAAACCTAAAAATATAGTCAGGCACCAGTGGCTCATGCCTGTAATCACCTAGCTACTCAGGAGGCTGAGCTCTGAGGATCGTGGTTTGAAGCTAGCCTGGCCTCTGTGAGACTATTTCCAACTAACCACCAGAAAACCAGAAGTGATGCTGTGGCTCAAAATTGTACAGTGCTAGCCTTGAGTGGAAAAACTCAGGGGCAGCTCCCATGTACAGATTGCAAGCCCATGATTAACAAAAACAAAACAAAACAAAAAACTGAAAATATAATTATAAATGGTATTGAAGAGAAAGGACTTCATTTAACATTGTATGTATTTGAACAGGGAAGTCTATAAACTGAAATTCCTGCAGAAGCTGGAAAGATGTGTACAAACTAGCCAAGAAGATATAGTTACATTAGAAGAATGAAGGCAACAATGAGAGTTGAAAAAATGCAAAGGACTTAAACAACTCACAGTCAAAACAAAACACTACAAGCTTTTACAAAAAGGTGTGCTTTCAGAAAAAAGGAGGGGGTTGGTCTGTAGTGTGGCTGTCTCTCAGAAGAAATGACAATGGTGAGTAGGAACTAGCACTCACTTGTTACAAAGAACTGTGCATCTTTTTTTTTGGACTTGGACCAATTATGTCGCAGATAAATAAACATTTGTATGGAGCTTATCTTTATGAAATCCTTTCTTCTTTTATATGCAAATTGTTACTTTATCACTTATTGTAAGCTCAAACCTGTAATCTCAACTACTTTGAGGTAGAGATTGGAGGATTAGTTTGAGGCTGGCCCAGGCAAAAAGTGCAAGATCCTATCTAAAAAATAATTAAAACATTTGTATACACTTGCATACCACCCAAGGTATTTAATTATATATTTATAAATAACTCCAGATTCCACATATGAAAGAAAACATGTATCCTTTGTCTCTCTTGGGCCTAACTTCATTTAATGTCATTTTTTCCAGGTCCTTTCATTTCTTTGCAAATGATGCACTATCATTCTTTCTCATACAGGAGTACAATTCCATTGTGTATATATACATTTTCTTGATAGATGTGCCCACTGAAAAGCATCTGGCTGATTCCAAATCTTGGCTATGGTGAATAGTTCTGTCATGAACATGGTTGTGCTGGCAACTTTACTGTATCCTAGTTTGTAATCCTTTGGATAAATGTCCAAGAGTGGAATTGCTAGATCACAGGGTAGTTCTACATTTAGTTTTTTGAGGACTAACTGAAACACAGTAGATTAAGAGGAGTATTCAAACAGAGTAATTTCTTAGAAAGGCAAAATCATAATTTGACAAACTAAACAACAGGAACTGGTACTTGAAAGGAGAAGGGTAAGGTTAAGGGGAGGACTGGTGGACAAATGCAGTCAAAATCCAATGTATATTCTACAAAATTAAGTGAGGGAAGGGGTGGGTTGAGACGGATGGGTACAAATGTTGAAAGGGGTGACATGGACCAAGACGTACTGTACTCATTAACTGCTTTGTTGACTGGCAATTCCTATGTACAACTACTTAAAGATAATAAAAATAAGCTTTGGGCTTACCATATTAAATAAAATAATTAAAACAAAAAGGACTGAAAATACAATTCAAGAAGTATAATGCTTGCTTAGCAAGCATAAGGCCCTGAGTACAAAACTCAATGTATCTATAGGTATAGATACATATTGGTATGTGTAGTTTCATAATCTTGAAAGATTACTAAAATCAAAAGAGGACCTAGGCAAATTCCTTAATTTTTCAAAACTAGAAAGAAGGTAGTATATCTTCAAATATGGACTAGTGGTCTTCAAGTTAATAAGTGTAACTACAATAGAATAAGATGACTTCAAAAGATGGACTGTGAAAGGGAAAAAAATGATATAATCAACACAAAGAGGATTTCCAGTCCAAAGGGGAACAGGTAAAAAGGTAAGTGGCCTGTTCTGGTAGTTGGGGATGGGGAAGCATATTGTACATCTTTTTTTTTCATTTCTTATATATATTTGTATTAAAATATAATCACTTTTTTTGATACTCTAATGTAAAAACTTTAAACATGGGACTGGGTAAAAGCTTAAATTGGAAAGTTCTAAGTGGTTGGCTTAATTGGTAGTTTTCAATGTGCAGTGAAGTCTCTGGTGAAATACTGGTTCAACTCTATTGATGAATCAGATTTTATGACATATATGCATCAAAACTGTTGATGACATAGAAGTGTTAAGAGATGGGTAAAATATTGATTAGGCCCTAGAGCCCTGTGGCATAACCTAATTTATGCTTATAGGTTAGATGGCCACGAGCCATAATAGAATGTCAAGATAGAGTAGATTTGACTGATGGAATTTTTTTTTCTTTTTTTTTTTTTTTGGGTCCGGTCATGGGGCCTGAACTCTGGGCCTGGATGCTGTCCCTCAGCTCTTCAGCTCAAGGCTAGCGCTCTACCACTTGAGCCACAGTGCCACTTCCGGCTTTTTTGTTTTTGCTTATGTGGTGCTGAGGAATCGAACCCAGGGCCTCATGCATGCAAGGCAAGCGCTCTACCACTGAGCCACCTTCCCAGCCCCCAATTTTTTTTTTTTTTCTGAACTGGGAGAGAGCAAGGGAAGAGGTAACATTGTCCAAAAAGAAATGTACTGTTTACCAGACGTATGTAACTGTAACCCCTTTACATATTCTCTTTATAGTAACAATAAAAAACTATTAAAAAATAACTTTCTGTGCTGGTACTGGGGCTTGAACTCACTGCTTGAACTCTACCACTTGAGCTAGGTTTCCAGGTCTATCTTTTTGGTGTTAACTGAAGATAAGTCTTGTGGATTTGTCTGCCAGGGATGGCTCTGAACTTTGATCTCAGATTTCTGCCTTCTGAGTAGCTAGAATTATAGGTATGAGCCACTGGTTTCTGGCACAAAGTGATTTTTTCTTTTGTACTGGTCCTGGGACTTGAACTCAGGTCCCAGGCATTGCCCCTGAGCATTTTTTGCTCAAGGCCAGAGCTCTACCACTTGAGTTACAGCTCTACTTCTGGCTTTTTAGTGGTTAATTCGAGATAAATTCCATGGATTTTGTTGCCCAGACTGGCGCTGAACCACTATCCTCAGAGCCCAGCTTCCTGAGTAGCTAGGATTATAGGTACAGTACGCCATTGGTGCCCTGCTACCAAATTACTTTAAAAATAAGTTTACCCTAATCAATATTATCTTGAATTCAACCAGTGCAAACAACTCTATTCTTAGCACTGCCCCATTGTAACTCTAGGGGCACCACTCATACGCCAAATAAATGAATCAAAAATGTCTGTGTATCTCTGGGGTTGTCCCACCTTCATTTCAGTTATGCTTCCCAGAATGCTCTTTTGCTTTCCTTGCTCTTTGATGACACCAATGTTGGTCTCTTAGCAGCATCCTCAGACCTCATCCCTACTTCCTGCTGGAATATTTAGGTCAGTTACAAACTTCACTGCCTTAACATCTACAGCTATCTCTATGTCAGACCTTCATGAGTCGACACCGCAAGTAGCTGCTGAGGACAAAGCGGATCCTCTCCATCTCCATTCGATGGATACTGACCTTCAGATCCCCCTTTTTGGCTCTTTTGAGATTTTCTTCCTATATTAAAGTTAAAAGAGAAACTGAAGTTTATTAAAAGAAGATGATATTCAAAGACTAACCGCCATTACCATTGGCAAAGTTGAGGACCAAAAAGACTATGTTTCAACCAAAACAAAAATTACACATATAAATTCTCATTTTCAATTTTTCTTGTTTTTTTTTTTGCTTGCTTTTGAGACAAGGTCTTGTTCGTAGCCTTAAACTCAGTCCTCCTAGCCTTTGCCTCCTAACACATAATTTTTGTTAATTGGACAAATAAAAATGATTATAGTCTCTGAAAATTCAAACATTTACATCATTTACTTTTAGAAAACGACCATTTGAACAGAAGCTGAGTCTGATCAGGCACAAAAGCCCAGGATTACAACCCAGTTGTAAAGGAGATAATACAGTACAGACAGGGCACATATGTGTAGGAACTCTTAAATACTGCTTGAGAAACACATTCTAAAGCTACACTTTGGTAGCTTTATTACTTTGGTAATAACCTGGAGCCCAGACCATTTAAGCCAAGGGCCACAAATGTAAATGTCTGTAGGGATAGGTAGGTAAGGGGTATGAAAAAGATAGGTTGCCATGGATCACAAGGAGCAGCACAGCATACTGAAAAGGGTGTGCTTTGCCTGCTCTAGTCAACTGTTCTCATGTGGAAGTGTACCACCAATAACAGCAAGTCTTTAGACTTTAGACATCTAGGTATTTACTAAGCACAAGTTATTTGTAAATGTAAATAACTAATTTCATATATTTTTTCAGAAAGTACTGGGATGATCCAAACAGGTCACAATGCTTTTAACAGTCTCTTCCTTAGTAACCAGAAAGAACCAACTCTTACCATGTGATCCAGCTGTTCTATAACACATTCTACAATTTCACACTTGTTTTCCAGTAGCTCAGGAGCAAATTTTTCATTCATCCAGGCCTAAAGAACAATATTGAGAAAAATGAATATCATAACAGAGCAAAACAACCTAGTGAGTCAGTTCACAGCCCATGAAAACTCAGATACCTCAGGCAAAGAAAACTATTCCTCTACAAGTTGGAAACATGTTTGATGGCTTCTCTACCTCTTTTATATTCACAACTTTTATTCAATCAACATTTTTTAGCTAAAAATTGGCTCTTTATGATCTCAATTGATGTATTTAACTTTTAAAAAACAATGAATAGTTCTAATTAAGTTTAGTTATACAAACTAAATTGTTCTTCAAGCTCTCTTAATTGCGTGTAAGGGTCAGTATCCTTGGCACAAAGCATATACACACAGCCTCGAGCGTCAGTCCCACAGAAAACATGTACGTAAGCAAAATAAAAGATATTTGTTTTTGATTACTTAAAAAATCAACAGAACTTACATAATCAATCCACCTACAAAAGAAAAAGCACCATCTTATTTGTGGGTGCCATTCCCATTCCCATTATATCCAAAACATTGAGAAGTAATTCAAAACTAGAAAATGGCTCAAATACTATGGCTGCCCATGGATCTTGCTATGAAACAGTTGCCAGTCTGAACTGAGGAACTAAAAAGAATGAAAAGAATTAAAGGGTTCTTCTGCATGAGGTCAACAGAACTTCCCAGAAGGCGGTGGTGGGCCAAGAAATCCACCTGGCCGAGAATCTTCTAAATGTTTTGCCAGATTGACATAGTGCACAGAATATACAGGAATATGAAGGATCAGTCTGTGGTGTCATCTCCCAGAAGGTTTCTGTGAGACAGTCCTTGGATGTAGGACAGCGGGGTAAAAGGGAGCTTTGCCACCACTCTACCATCAAATATAGAATTGAACATTCCTATTAAGGCAGTAAAACAAAAACTAATTGCAGGGGCTGGGAAGGTAACTCAGTGGTAGAGTGCTTGCCTTGCATACATGAGGTCCTGGGTTCGATTCCTCAGCACCACATAAACAAACAAAAAAAGCCAGAAGTGGTGCTGCGGCTCAAGTGGTAGAGCGCTAGCCTTGAGCTGAGGGACAGCACCCAGGCCCAGAGTTCAGGCCCCACGACCAGACCCAAAACAAAAACCAATTGCAAACACAGATTTCATTCGAACCATTGATAGATCTCTATTGTTAGTCTTCAGTTTTTCTTCTTGTCTTATTTTCTTTTTTTTGTTGTCAGCCAGCTGACTCTGTTATTGTTTCTTTTTTCTTCTCCATTTTTTTTTTTACTCTGTTTTTCCACTTCCGCCTTCAGTCTCTTATACTTGTCTGTCCGGTAAACCAGGACCCAGGTTATGCCTTCCGAGAGCAGCGTGGTGCACACGGAAATAAAGACGAGCAGGGTGTCTGCGAACATGGTGCTCATCTTGCACCTCCATCCCTGTGTACCAGCTCCGCAGGAACAGGTGCAGTGCGCTGCGGAGCCAGCAAAAAAGACAAGCTAGGTCTCCAGACAACCCAGAACACCCTGACTTTGACAGGCTGCAGGGTCACACTTCTCAATCAACATTTTTAAATGCACGATTTACCTCAGTTATTTTGTTGAGAAACGCCATCTAGTGTTCTAGCCCTAACTATTACCAAGTAGTATTAACAGGAAACACATTTCTACTTCCTCAGCAGCTGCTTCCCACCAGGGGGCAACATTACTTTCTGTGCTTCGCGGGATAAAAAGTAACACTAAATCTAAACATTCTTCATTCCTGATGTCCAATTTACAAAAACTTTTCATTCATCATATCCTTACCTTATTGATGAAAAAACACAGACTGAGAAACCCACCACACAGCCCCAAAGGATAAAGACTCACCAAAAGAATTCAATGTATGACTTAGGCCCAGCTGCTCTGTACACTTTGCAGATTATCCAGCCTTACAGAACTAAAATATCCAAAGTGACTAAGGAAAGCTATACTTATCTTTCAATTAACAGGAAATTGGGTTTTAGTTTAGCTCAGAATTAAATGCCAATCAGGCTCAACCTATTTTTTCTGATGTGCTTGAGTTCCTGTTTCCCCAATTATGGCACATTAAATACTGGGTACTGCTACAATCATAAAAATTCATCTAAGTACTTGAGCTGGCTGCTGCAATAGTGCTGAAAGCTGTATGACTGATTGTGTGTGTGTGTGTGCACATGTGCATGTCTGCTGGTACTAGAGCATGAACTCAGAACTGGGTGCTGTCCTTTAGCTTTTTTTGCTCAAGGCTGGTTCTCTACCATTTGAGCCACAGCTTTAACTCCAGCTTTTTGGTGGTTAATTGGAAGTAAGAGTCTTGCTGGCTTTCCTGCCCAGGTAGCTTGGAACCACCATCCTCAGATCTCAGTCTGAGTAGCTAGGATTATGGATGTGAACCACCAGTGCCTAGCTATAATTTTTTTTTTGGTCCAGTTGTTGGGCCTGAACTCTGGGCCTGGGCGCTATCCCTCAGCTCTTCAGCTCAAGGCTAGCACTCTACCACTTGAGCCATAACGCCACTTCTGGCTTTTTTATTTTTTCTTCTTATGTGGTGCTGAGGAATCAAACCCAGGGCCTCATGCATGCAAGGCAAGCACTCTACCACGGAGCCACCTTCCCAGCCCCAATTCTTTTTTCTTTTAACTTTTTGTTTTGAGGACTGAACCCAGGGCCTTTCATATAAAGCAAGCCTTCTAGCCCTCCTTTTCTCAACCCTACTACTATATAAATTAACCAGAAATTTATATAGTAAAAAGCACTTTACAGATTGAAAAGCAGTTTACTTTTCAATAGATTGATATAAACACTTGTGTGGGTACACAAATTCATTAAAGAATATCCTCATTATTTGAAAAGTTCTTACATGTTCCTCAGAAGTAATCATCAGCCTGAATTTAGTGTTTACTTTTCTTTATAGCTTCACTGTATTTGTTCATATTTCTTTATATGCTTTCCAACCTTTTCATGACAGGACAAAGAAAACACCAATACCTGTAAGGCATACTGGGGTAAAATAAAGTGGATTTGGAGTGATTGTACACTTATGTTATAAAATTGTATTATGAGTATAAAACTTTGAAAGTATTTTCAAAATTTGTTGTTTGAGAAACGTGTGTTTTTAAGAAATGTTTAAAGCTGGGCACTGGTGGCTCATGCCTATTATCCTTACTACTCAGGAGCTGAGGTCTAAGAATCAAGGTTTCAAGGGCCAGCGTGGGCAGGAAGTTTACTGAGACCCTTATCTCCAACTAGCCTCCAAAAAGTCAGAAATAGAGCTATGGTTCAAATGGTAGAGTGTTAGCCTTGAGGGGGGGGGAACCCTCAGGAACAGGGCCTAGGACCTGACCTGAGTTCAAGCTCCAGTACTAGCACAAAAAAAACAAAAACAAAAAAACTTCAAATGGCTGACCTGGTTCTTAATCAAAATAATTTGTGTGTGTGTATATGTGTATGTGTGTACGCACGTGTATGCATGTGACACTAGGGATCAAATCCAGGGCCCTGACAATCCTAGGTAAGCACACTACTAATCATACCCCAGCATTCCTGATCACAATTCTTTTATTTTTCCCCCTTAGTCATGGGTCCTGAACTCTGGGCCTGGGTGCTGTCCCTCAGCTTTCAGCTCACTCTACCACTTGAGCCACAGCACCACTTCCGGCTTTTTTCTGCTTATGTGGTGCTGAGGAATCGAACCCACCCAGGGCCTCATGCATGTGAGGCAAGCACTCTACCACTGAGCCAACTTCCCAGCCCACCTGATCACAATTCTTAATGATAGTCTGTTTGTTATTGTTATGAGTTGAATTGTGTCCTCTCAAAATTCAACTTAGCTGAGGGTGTATGAGGCCCTTGGTTCAATCAAGAGAACTGAAAAAATAAAATCCAAACAGAAATAAAAATCCCTATGTTGAAGTTTTGCTAGCCTGTGAATTGTATACAAATGATTTCTTCTGCAATTTGATTTTACCCCTTTCCTTTTATTCTACTTTCGCAGTGCACAGGAATCAAACCCAGGGTTTCATGTGTGCAGGCAAGCATTCTGCTTTCTTTCTACTGGGTATATAGGCTGCAATATCTTATCCAACTTGTTGTTGGGTTATTTTCAACTATTACAAGCAATCTATAAACATACTGTATATATTTCCTCAATTTCCTCATCCACACAGGGAGGTTTCCTTCAGGTATATATCTGGGAGTAGACTTACTGGCTCTCAAGTCATGTGTGCCTTCAACTTTTGCAGGACAATAACAAATTATTTTCCAAAGTGACTGCACCAGTTTACGTCCCCCTTATGTAAGTTGCAAATTATTCTACATTTTGCCACATTTTTTACTGACACACCTTTTCATTTCAAATTGGTATGAAATGATAACTCACTGTGATTTATTTTGGTACCAGTCCTGGGCCTTGAACTCAAGGTCTAGGCACTGTCCCTGAGCTTGAGCCACTTCTGGCTTTCTTGTGATTTATTGGAGATAAGAATCTTACAGCTTTTTCCTGCTAGGGCTGGCTTTGAACCCTGATCCTCAGATGTCAGCATCCTGACTAGCTAGGATTACAGGTGTGAGCCACTGGTGCCTGGCTCATTGAGATTTTAATATTCATGTTGCTGATTACTAAAAGGACAGAACATCTTTTTCATATGGCCACTGGCCACTCTGGTCTTCTCTTCTGAGAAATAAATATCCAAAATTCTACATGGGTTGTGGGTATTTATTTGTGCATTCTTCTAGGAAGGAGTAGAATTTTTTAACTAGCTTCTTACATAAAAACAGATGAAGAATTCTTGCTAAACTTAGAAGGATGTTTAATTCAATGCCAGACTAGATTACAGTTTCAGTTAAGCTTCCATGACTTAGGGAGACTCTATCTCAAAAAATAAAAAGCAGAGCTGGAAGCAGGGTTCAAGTGGTAGAGTGCTTGCTTAGCATGCACAAAGCCCTGAGTTCCATCCCCAGCACTGCAAAAATGAACAAACAAACAATCCCAGCTAAACAGTAAGGGAAAATTTAAGGATATAAGGCTGGAGGTGTAGCTAAGTGGTTGAGCACTGGCTTTGATTCCCAAGAACTACAAAAAATAAAAACAAGAACCAAAAACACTATCTTCCTTCAGCTTTGCCATTCATGATAGCATATGTCAGGGAAAAAAATAACTCTAAAGGAGAAAACACATGAGTTACAGAAAGGGCAGTTAAAGTAAGGTAGCAGATACAAGAAGTGAGGAACACATGTTGGGAGCAATAACGAGCATGTATTGGGAGGAATAACAAGCATGAGGCAAAGCCCTGAGTTCAAAATCCAGCATATCAAGTGACCAGAGCTAAGTTTTTGTTTGGTTCTGCTTCCACATGTGACCTTGGGCAAAGTATTTTATCTTTTTTCTTTCTAGTACTAGGGCTTGAACTCAGGGCCTTGTGCTCTTGCTTAGCTTGCTTGCTTATGGTTGGCACTCTATCATACCTCCAGTCTATCATTTTACTAATTAATTGTAGGTGAAATATGGAAAACCTTCCTGCCCCAAATGGCCTTGAACTATGATCCTCTAAGCCTAGACTCCTAAGAAGGCAGGATTACAGGCACTAGCCCTCAGCACCTGGATAGGAGTTTACATATTCAAGCTTCAGTTTCCACATCTATTAAACAGGTAACAAGTATCTGCCCCACTAGGTCAGTGAGTTCTTATGGGTCTGACAATATGCACAGACATTACACAGAGTGTCCTATTTAATCCTCACTACTCGGTGTAGTTACTATGCATTTTTATAGCCTGAAAGTGGAGACAAGCTATCTAACTTACGTCATGTTACATAATAGACTAATAATAGACTAATATCACAGAGGATGTATTTTGGGGAACAAGTCCTCACTATGTAGCCCAAGATGAATTTTCAATCTTCTTGCCTCAGCCTACCAAGGGCTTGAATTACAGGTATGTGTGACCATGCATGGATAGCATGGAGATTACATCTACTTAAATCTAGATGGTCTGATGAATTTCATGACAAGATAGCTATAAAGAATTTAATACAGCTGGCTAGGGTGATACATACCTGGGACCCAAACACTTGAGAGGCTAAGGCAGGAGGAGTTTGAGGCTAGCCTGGTGTACATAGCAAGACCCTGTCTCAAAATAGAGATTACAATAAACTTAACACAGTTGCTGGAACACAAAAAATAATAAATTATTGCCACTGTAACAACAATAACATATCAAAATTATTTTATGCAGACAGTAGAACTATTAAAAGCTGATTCAAGAAAATATGGGGGAGGAAAAGTAAAAATGTGACTCATTTTCTTTTCATGAAGGTACCTCTGTACATTCTTGTTAACCTAGGCATTCTCCAGGGGAACGGTAGGTATTTTGAGGGACTGAAGTACAGAATTTACAAGTCTATAGAACACCTCCATGTCTTTGTACATACCAACTAAATCCTTGATCTGTGTTAAGTCCTATTAAGTAAGTCCAAAGCTGTCCCTTACTAGCCTATTCGAAGACTTTGATATTATGAGTTTTCTAACACTTCTTCTTTTTGGGTAGAAGGTAATTATAATCTGGTACCTGTTCTCTTGAAATAAACCTTGAATTCCATTTCTTCATTCTCTGGTCCCCGACACTGGCACAACTGGACTAAATTCAAAGGTTAGAAATAAAATGAAAGGATTCCATTTGGGATGCTCACCTGCTCCAGCCTTTCAATGAGCTCTGCAGGAGTTAGGACCACCTCCTCACTGCCCCCATCTGAGTCCTGTCCTATGAAATCCAGTTCCTCTGTCATGGTCTCTGAAACCAGGAACCTAATGAGAATACAAGAAGCATTACCTTGCAAGGTATCTGGGTAAGGGAAAAATTCCTTGTGGTATAGGGGCCTCTGGCTAGAGACCTCATGGAGCAATATTTTGTTTATTGTGTGTGCTGATACTGGGGCTTGAACTCATTGTCCCTGTCCCTTAGCTTTCCCACTCAAGGCTGGCTAATTGGAAATGAAGAGTATTAAGCCCATGCACCAGTGGCTCATACCTAGCTATGCATGAATCTGAGATCTGAAGATCACAGTTTGAAGTCAGCCTGAGCAGTAAGAGAGTCTTATCTCCTATTAACCACCAAAAAGCTGGAAACAGAGCTGTGGCTCAAGTAGTAGAGTACTAACCTTGAGCAAAAAAAGCTCAGGGAAGGAACCCAGGCCCTGAATTCATGCCCTAGGACTGTCCTTCGCTTTAGAGCTTCTCCCTCATCCCGCCAACCCACCTGCACATGGACTTTCCTGATCATGCTGGCTTTGAACCCCATTCCTCAGATCTGAGACTCCTGAATAACTAGGCTTACAGGCCAGAGCCACCAGTGCCCAGTTAAGTTTTAGTTTTGTGTTTTCTAGGTTCAGGTCAGATATCAGCTCCTCAAAGGTACCTATCAACCCTGTAACAATCTCCATTCTGTACACTTTGAATTAAGTACTTACACAACAAATAGTCCTTAATAAGTACTGATGGCTCACATCTGTAATCCTAGCTACTGAGGTCTGAGAATCCTGATTTGAAGCCAGCCTGGGTAGGAAAGTCCATTAGTTTCATAGCTCCAATTAACCATCAACAAGCTGGAAGTGGAGCTATAGCAGAGCTTAAGTGTGGAGCACAAAAGTTCAGGGACAACGCCCAGGCCCCAAGTTCGAGCCTCAGGACCCGCACAATAAAAAACAAATGAAAACAATAGTTCCTTTAACTTGTCTTTGCTGTTGTTTGCCTCAGTGGCTGTTTGGGCATGTGTGTAGTGGCGGGTGCAGTACTGGGGCACCATGAACCCGAGTAGCCTGCGAGCTGTGCACAAAGCTAACCTCACTGCGTGCTTACAGACTAGCACCCAGGGTAAGGACCTGGGGGCCTCGCTCTAGCCGGGAGGGGCAGAGCGCCCGCTCCTCGCCCTTCCTTCTCATCCTCCTCCCCCCCTTTCGGCGCCACGGATCCAAGGCCGTCCAGGGAGCTGGTCAGCATGGGACCCGGGAGGTACAGGCGCCCTGGAAAACCAGGCCGCTCTCAGACCGCGCCAGGAAGCGGAAGCAGGGCAGAACAGCAAGTTCGAGGCCCGCCCCGGCCTTACCTGCCTCTTCCCGCGATCCAACTCCCGCGCTCCTTCACAAACTTTGCGCTCCAGTGCAACGTCACCGAGCACCAGCGGCGCTAACCAATCACGTCTCTGGGAGAAGGCACAAGACAGCCTTTTTTTTTTTTTTAACTCCGCGCACCAGGGGGCGGGGACTCGCTTCGCTGCACAGCGCCTGCGTAGTGGCTTCCGGAAAACAGCGGCGGGAGGCTGGAGGTGATTATTGCTCATTCTAGGCTGACAGCACGCAGCATGACCAGGAGGAGGCGCTCGCCACCTGGCTGAGTGCCGAGCATAATCAACTACACATTTTTGTTATCTGTGTGATGCCAATATTTCTTCTCTGCCTTGCTCATGCCTTTCGCTCTGCTGTCTTTTGTTTTCTGTGAAAAATGTCACGTCTGGCTTTTCTAGTGTGTCTCTTCTCTATCAACTCGAAGACTGAGAATTTTCCTATGGTATAGTGACTGGCTAGAAAAGACTGGCTAATCATGTTATAAAAACTGCAGCAGAATATGTCAGTTCCATGGTAAAGCACTAACCTATCCTAAGTGAGATACTAGGTTGATCTCCAGAACTGGGAAGAAAATGAATACATCTAGTGAAAGAATGGCAATTTACATGGGGCCGAAGAAGCACCCATATATTTGAAAAGGATTTCCAGAAGAAAGGGACAATTGAACTGTGTCTTTCAGAACGTGTTTCATGGATTATGAATAGATGGCTGTGTGTGTGTGTGTGTGTGTGTGTGTGTGTGTGTGTGTGCATGTGTGTGTGCACGTGCCATACCTGGGACTTGAACTCAGTGCTTGTGTGCTGTCCCTGAGCAACTCCACACCTAGCTTTTTGGTGTTTTATTGGAGATAAGATTGTTATGGGTTTTCCTGCCTGAGTTGGCTTTGAATTGCAATTATTATCTCAGCCTCCTGAGTTTATAGGCATGAACCACCTGTGACCAGCCAAATAGTCGGTATTGTAAAGGTCCATGTCAGTGCCATGGTTCAATAATTTTATTTTGCAGTTAGTTTTGCTGCAAACATATGTTTTTTCCCAAACATAACCACTCCGATACAGATCTTGTTCTATATGCCCTTCTTGCCATGCAACATTGATATTGCAAGGAATGAAGTCTATGTTCTTCTTCTTTTTTTAAAAATTCTTTCTTCTTTTGGTGCAGGTGATGCGACCCAGAATCTTGCCTATGCTATACAACCATGCTCTCAGTTCTTGTCTTATTTCAGAAAGCTTAGAGCAGTTAATCAATTGGACCCTAGGGTCTGGTAAGAGAAGAATTCAGGCAAGTCGTGAACATAAGTAAAGATGACAAAAAAAAGTTTATTAGATGAGAAATATAGGAGAGCACATGGCATAAATAAGCCACAGGCAAGATGGCACTTCACCCTATTTCTGCTCTCTTGACCATCTTCTGGTTACAGAGCTTGGCCCTGAGTTAAATAGTGAGAATGAGTCTTTGAAGATTGCTTTTGATTGGTGGATCTATCTTCCTCTGTGTCCTGTAAAGTTGTAATACTGTCCTATCTTTATTTCCTCTTTCTGTAGCCCTATATCCCTATTTCATTATCAGTCAAGTTCTGGTTTATTAGCTTATCCTGCCATGCACACGTTGTATAGGCTGCAGTTTCCTGATTGTCGTCTTTCTACTAACTCATAACATTCTCATCTTCATAAGTGGGAAGACCTTTGCAACAGCTTTAATCAGGAAAATTTGGCTAAAATAATACTTCTAGGCTTTGGCAAATGGCAATGCAGGTTTCATCTGGCTTGCTGGCCTTTGGGAAGCATGAACTGGTGTATGAGAACTCAGGTTTCCTTGTAGCTGCTATGCTTGAGTCCATGTGGAGAGAGCTCCCAGATGACTGAGTTGAACAAGCCTTCAGATTTTTACTTTCAGACTTTCACTTGACCTAGCTACCACAGAGAAAAGCAGGATGAGCTTTCCCTTCCAAAGCATTCTTAGATCATAGATGTGTGAGCAAAACAAATGTTGTGCACCTCTGCTTCTTGACTTAATGGATGTGTGACATGTTATGTATCTGCAGTTCAAGTGCATTGCCTATGAACTGAGAATACAGTGTTTTCCTGAAGGAAGAGGGATAATTGGATAATTGGATAATTTGGTGGTTAATTGGGGGACTTATTTTACCTCTAGTAATTTTGTTTTTCAGTACTGGAATTTGAACTCAGGGCCATGCCCTAGCCAAGCAGGTGCTTTACCTCCTGAGCCACATTCCCAGCTCTATCATCTTTAAGGTCTTTGTTCCTAGCTAATATTATGAACTCATTTTATTACCAGATAAAATGAATTTGCAGAGGAATATTTATACTATGTCAGGAAATATGTAAAGAAATACTAATGAAAAAAAGAAAGACAGGAAAAGAGAAGTGCTACCTGGGGGAAGCTGTGTCAGAAGTCATTGCAAGTTCAGGAAGGCCAGAGAAAAGACTTGTCTTATTAACACTGACAATGTTTGACAGTGGCATTCCATATTCCTATGTATGTTTGTATGTATAAATGAGAAGAAAATCAGGGATGCTGAGTTGATGTGCATTCAATGTCAAGTTTTTAGATATAATAATATAGCCATCAAATGGAATG